TCCCTTCAAATGGCGGCTCCCCTAAATGGGGTTGAGAGGAGCAGTATTTTGGAAAATAGCTTTAACCTAAACTTATTTTGTTAAATATTTTTTTATTTAACATATATTAGGAAAAAACTCGAAATCCAAAAGGTTTTTTTGTACACATTAGAGCATCTCAAATACAAAAACATGAACGATGCATACGTGACATTAGAGATAACCAATTAAAAAGAGGTGAATTTCCTAAATAGAAGTAAAAAAGTTTTGAAATCCCAAAATAGGACTATATTCCAAAATAGGACTATCATGTTTTTTATTCCTGGAATATGAGTAAAGTTTTGCCAAGTTTGGCATTACTAGGCTTTAAAGCATGGTTTTTTTCCAAACTTGGCAGATTACTCCCATTCAGGAAATAAAAAATATGATACTCCTATTTTGAAATTTGAAAACGTTTTTGCTCCTATTTAGAGCAATTTCTAATTAAAAACAATAAGGGATAACTATCAAATAAGCCATCGAACTTTCATAAAAAGTGCAAATAAGCCCTTTTATAAGAGACTCTGTCCGGCCATCGCCAATTGGGGTGGTTTCCGTAGGATTTTTTTAATGAAATTTTTTTAGAATCTTTTTATTTAAATCTATTTTACTCATACCAAATATCAGCTAAAACATCAATCGGGAAGACAATCAAATGAATTTTTGAAGATAACAGCGCAGTTGGACAGCGCAGTATATTTCAGAAAATGATTTGACTGTCTTCTCGATTGAAGTTTTAGATGAAATTTGGTATGGCTAAACTAGACTTAGTGAAGAAGATGTTTAAAAAATTTCATCAAAAAATTCCAAAGGAAACCGCCCCAATTGGGGACAGCCGGACAAAGCCTTCTGTAAAAGGGCTTATTTGCACTTTTTATGAAAGTTCGAGGGCTTATTTGATAGTTGTCCCAAACAATAAATAGAATATCTCTCTCCTTATTTGAACGCCTTATATGTTTTTGGTAAGTTTTCTCTACAATGTCAAGCACAATGTCTAGATGTAGACATTGTGGTCGACATTGTTGAGAAAAACTTACCAAAAACACATAAGGCCGTGGACAGAAGGAGAGAAAAATGTCATAAATTTAATCTTTTGTTTCTATCTTTCTGATGCCACATTTGTACCGTGCATATTCTAGCATTGGAGATGCTCTTATGTTACACGTGAATCCAATTATTGCTATGTACATAACTACATACATGATCCTACAATCTATTGCTTTGATGGAAATTGCCCTAAGGGCATCCCCATCCATGAGATTATTTAAAGTTTAATTGGATGATGTGTAAGATTGTTTTACAGATCATCATTGTGAGTGAGAGATTATTGAAAAAGAAAATCCAGTATCAAGATTTGAATCCCGGATTATTTTAGATTGTAGTTAAAATGCATTTAATGCATGATCTAGAATATCTAATTATTTGAGTATCATGGTTGATGAAGAATTTTAAGACTTGAGATTATTTCAGATTTATGGAATAAATGTGATGTGGCAATGACATGTAATCGAAAAATCGTTTATTTTAAGATCATGAATGGAGATGCTCTAAATAGGAGTAAATGAGTTTTGGAATTTCATAATATGACTATTTTTTCCTGAAATAGGAGTTGTTACTGTCATGTATAAAAAATACTACCATTATTGAAAAATGATATCATTAATTATAATAAATACTGCCATGTTAAATGTACTGCACTACAATTATTTGGCAGTCACGCCTACAAGATGACAGTAAATACTGTCATGTTAGTCCTATTTAGAAAATAAAAACATAGTAATTCTATTTTGGAATTCCAAACTCTATTTACTCCTATTTTAGAAAATGCCACTCACTTTGATTTATAACTAGGGATGGCAACGGGGCGGTTCGGGGCCGGGTATACCCTTACCCGTACCCGCCCCGAAAGTTAACTTATTATCCCCGAACCCGCCCCGTTTCCCGTTGGGGAATTGGTTACCCGAACTGTACCCAATTGAAACGGGGAACGGGTTTCCCCACGGGTAACCGCATTATTAAAAAATATTTTTGTTCTTCTAAGTAGTATTACTATTAAACAATCACTTGACCATTGAATAACATTCGATAACCACCACAAATCAAATCTAATTTATCACAACAATGACGCCAAAATATAAATTACAAAAATATTCACTAACCAAAAGTTAAAATACACATTCCTACAACATTCAAAAGTCAGAATTTCAGTAATATCTTCCAACATTGAAAATACATGGCAGCGACATTAAAAAGTCTAAATTCCAACAATATTTAATGTCCAAACTCAGCCTTTCAAGCTTGGTAAGAAATTTATCCAAGATTGCACTTAGCTTTTCAAAATCTTGCACTTAGCTTTTCAAAATTCTGCACTTAGCCTTTCAAAATTCTGCACTTAGCTTTTCAAAGCTCCGCACTTAGCATTTCAAATTTCTGCACTTGGCCTTTCAATACTCTGCACTTAGCCTTTCAAAAATCTGCACTTAGCCTTTCAAAAATCTTCACTTTTATTTGAAGTAGAAGATAAATAACAGGCTGATCATAGTATTACAATATACAAAGTGTTATTTGAACTCTGCACTTTCAGAATTCTGCACTTTAGCCTTTCAAAAATCTGCACCCATAATTATTTTTGAAAAATTAATGTAAAATTAATGTTGCTAATTACAGCAATTACACAAACTAATTAAATCTAAATTGAAACTTAAGATAAACACTAATGACTTGCAACACTACACTAAACTGAAATTAAACTAAACTAATCACAACTAATTATAGCAATTATACATTTATACAAACAAAAACACATGGTAAGAAATTTATCCAAGGCTGAAATTGCCCTTTTTGGCATACACTAATAAACAAATCAACGAGAAAAACATTCAATGGAAATATCATTGTTTTTTGAGACAACTGATGATCCATGACAAAATTGATGCAAATATTCTATCACTTATATAGTAAAATAAGCACAATAACACGAAACAAGGTACTATTAACAGCAAACTAAAGTCTAAAATTTGAATCCAAAGATACAAGAGAAGACAACTTGATAATATTAATACCAATATAACGAAAAAAACTAAGCCTTGTATCCCCTGCTGTTTCTTTTACCCCTAGCCCTCTCAAACTTTACCCCCTTGGCACACACATATAGCTTGCCGAAGATTACCAGTTATAGACGAAGGAGCTTTGGTGATGAAGAATAGCAGATAATCTGGATCACTGGATGGACACTGACCGTTGAGTGAAGATAGCAGATGTGTAGCGAACTAGCGAGTTCGGATGAGTGAAGGTCGAGGGATCCGATTAGCACTCTCTGGCGTCTGGCTGAGTGAAGGTCGGAGGAGCAAACATAGCTGCTGGCCGAGTGAGGGTTGAACTCTGGTCGATTAGCCTCTCGGCCTCTCCACTCTAGCGATTAGCAGATAGGGTTTCCTAAGATGCTTCTGGACTGGACTTCTGGACTTTTGGTCGATAGGGTTGAACTAAAAGGGAACATTAGGAATTTAGGATTTCAGATATACTAATAAAATTTATTACTCCCTCAGTCCCCCTAACTTTGTCCCGTTTTACCTTTTTCGTCAATCTCATTAAGTTTGTCTCATACCATATGTGGTAATATTTGGTTGGTTAGAATTCATTCTCACTTTATTCACACTATCAATTCAATACCAAACACACAATTCTACTTTTTCATAAAAGTTGTGTCACACTGATTTGTCCCAAACATGGTGGGACGGAGGTAGTAAATTATTAAAATCTATATAACATATAGTAATGGTTCGTGTAACGGGGCGGGTAACCGTACCCAAACTAAACTGGGCGGGTACGGGGCGGATAACGGGGCGGGTTATTATAAAACCGTACCCGCCCCGTTACCCGTTTAAAAAATCGGGTATTCCCCGCCCCGTACCCGTTACCCAATCAACACGATTTTCCCATTTTGACCGGTTCAATTCGGAGCGGGTATCCATCTGGTCGGGTTAGATTGTCATCCCTATTTATAACAAGTGTACTTGTTACGTAGTGCTAGTATATTTTAAATACGGCAGCCATCCACTTTCACAAACGGCTCATCTTATCTACCCCCACATGTTTAACAGAGACCGACAGATATACTGACATACCAATGGATTACCAAATTCCTCCAACAATTTTTGTCTTCATTGACCCCGACTAACATCATTAAAAAGCCCGTAATACTACCAAGAAGGCAATAAACTGTCTAATAGTGATTGTTTCTTATACAATAGTCAAAAAATTACTCCGTACAAGATTGTTTATTGTAATCTTTTACTCCATACAAAAAAAAATCGCCGATTCAGCCAATTATAATACTTCCTCCGTCCCTTATAACTTTGCCAACTTTCCTTTTTTGTGGTTTCAGTTAATTCTCTCTCCTCTGCACAAACCTCAACCACACAATTTTTACTTTATTAATCCATGTGCCGGTCAAACTTGGCAAAGTTATTAGGGACGGAGGGAGTATATCAATAATTGCCGCTTAGTTGTCAATTAGTTGCCGATTCGGCATTTCGGCCTAGACACTATACGGCCCTCCGTCTTCTGCAGCCTGATTAACGCCTAGGTGCTTTAGACTTTCCATAAAATATACAGAGTAATTTAATTATAATGTTTTCATAATTTAGTAGATTCATCCTATTTTGTCGCTTCAGCCAATTATAATATATCAAATATGATGTTAAACAATACCTTTAAAACAAATTGCTCAAAATAGTAATAAAACGTATATGAATTTCTAAAATAGGAGTACATGAGTTATATTTTGGAATTTAAAAAATGGTATCTCATTTGAGAAATTAAAGCTTACTATACACGAAATACTAGGTATGCTTTACTTATATTTGATTGAGATTTGAGAAATTCTCTCAAGCTTTAAACCTTCAGGTTTAAACAAAAAATTTCATTAAACCCTTATGCCATCAATCCAATGCAATCATAACTTAAATATAATACTAATCATGAAGTTAGGTTTTGGATAAAAGCCATATAGCGCATAGAAGTACATCTTGTAGACAAGCTTATTTATTGTAAAGGCGAACGGCGCGGATTTGTCCTCTTTCTCTTGTGCGTTCGGAAACTTACTGGGTTCCGATTTCCCTGACAGTTGTTATTCACCATCATTGACTTCTTTGAGCATGCTGCCACCTGGAATTTAAACCACTACTAGTATATATTAAGAAATACCAATACAAGATGCATAAAATTATGTGTGGAAATATGTGATTGACTCATTACCTTATAATGACAATGCATTGATAAGTGTGCCATTATACATATAAAGTACAGTTGTACACTAAATTTTACTTAGTACAACAATACAAATGTCCAAGAATGTCTGACATGCAAAAAATCAACAACTAAAAAAGCCAAGATTTTCTCCATTATCAAATATTAAAGATTTGCATCTTTTTAATTTCAACCATTTCCAGATGGGAACCAAGTGTAGTGATTTATATTAGCTCATAGAGTACAAGTGCACCCATTATCTAGTAAAAATATAATGCTTCCATTTACAATGTAATTTATTTTTATAAGTTCTTTATTGTAGCGCTATATCCTCTTACCTACACCATTGTTCATAATAGAGAATACCTTGCATGCAATACAACAAAAGCGATAGAGATGAGGATCATGGAGTTTTCTTTTGCAAGAATAACAAGTCCCTCTCACATCTGAACATTGGGATCCTGAACCGTTGTGCGGAAGTGGATTGAATGATATGATCCACTTCTTATTGCATTTGTACGTCTGCAAACATATAAATAATCACATGTCTCATCTTAATTATATGTATTAAATATGTCTACTAAATGAAACGGTAAGTGGCCTAATCTTTCAATTAATAGAGGGAAAATAAAGAGTGTACTCGTATTATTTATGAGAAAAAGGGCATTAATGAGATATATATCCGGATAATCAAAACAAATTTTGTACTTTGTACTGCGTAGGTTTTGAATCTCTCATTTGAATTGCATGTACGGAGTAAAATTAATTTTACAAATTTTCTCAATCTCAATAGCTTCATGATTTTATAGTCAATAAATATAGTGTTGACCCTAATTGTTAAATAAACTTATTTTTAGCATTGTTTAACATCACTTCCTATACACTTGAAATTTGAGAAAGTCGTCTACATAAATAACTTAATTGGGTCAATTGAGTCATGTTTGACATGCAATTCCAACTAAAAAAGGGCAGACTTACTTTAAATGCATTCCATTATTATGTGATTAGATTTGTTTTCAAAAACCTTTGAAGTGAGATCGACCTAGAAATATGAACTAAAGCGAATGTTAATAGATGTAACGTGCAATTCAATTGATACATGTTGCAAATCAACTATCCATGCCAATGTTGTTTTGTCACGAGCTATATATTTTGATCGGTGCTAAACTCAATTATACGTGCCAACTCTGTGCCAATTCTATGCTGATTTCGTGTTGATTCCGTGCTAATACCATTGTTTTTTCTAGTGTGGGTAAAGTGAATTGTAATTTAATTGTGAGCTTTGTTAATTGTACAATTGTTCACATAGTTATGCTGGTGGTTATAAAGTATACAGGGGAGAAGGAGAATAAACCTGTATTTTTGAGATGTCAAGATGAGCACTGATATCATCAAAGGGAACAACGTCCGTGTACACATGGCGATAAATCTTTAGTAGCCTATGACCATGATGACGACCGATTCCCACATTAGATGACGAAGATGGTGAAATGCAGTATTTACATACAGCTGCTTTACAATTGATGCAAAAGTTGTTAAGCTCATTGTTTGGAAGCTGACAATGGACTGAACAACCACTAAAGAACACCATCTTTAGTAAGGACTCCACCCAAGTCGGAACATGCATAACTATTTCCATTTCTTCTTCCACTTTTTCTCCCATTACGTTCTTCGAAAACTAGACATACACCATAAAATGAGATTCCCCACACTTCAAAGTGTGGTTATTATTTAATAATATAAGTAATTGACTAAAGTGAAACCAGACTATTAATATAATTATTGTTATCCTAAAATTAAACCGCACTTATATTCATAATTTGTCATTCTTTTGGATGGAATTTGGAACTATAATAGTGGTGACTCGTGAGGACATGTTTTATTTGATTTTGTATCGAACTTAATGATCGAGCGGTTAAACTACTTGCTCTTAGTAAGAATGTGTCCAAAAGCATGATATTCAATTATGACACAAACAAACACATTAACGAGATTTATTAACTCTATACGAAGTATAACTAAAGCTATTATTTTATCTCAAATAATCTTAATCTTTATTTTATTAAATTAACCTTCGTTCAATGTTTTTTAAAGAAGATTAAAATTTCATAAATACACAATTAATATATTTAGTGAATTAATGTACCATATAGACAATTAATTTCTCTCCTACATATATAAGTGGAAAATTGTTGGCAACAAATTAATTGTTTAGTTATTCATAAGTTACTATGGCATTTAAATTAATATGATAATGGGAAAATCCTTAAATAGGAGTAAAAAGTTTTGAAATTGTAAAATAGGACTACCATGATATTATTCCCTAAATAGGAGTAATTTCTGCCATGTTTGGCATTACCAGGCTTTAAACATGGTAGTGTTTTCCAAACTTGGCGGAAATTACTCCTATTTAGGGAATAAAAACATGAAGGTTCTCTTTTGGAATTTCAAAACGTTATTACTCCTATTCGGGGAAATTTTTATATGATAATATAGCAGATAGATGGTATAATAATAACATAATAATACGTACTGTAGTAGTCATGTTCGAATTTTGCCAATAATTTGAACAAAAATGTAAAAACTTAATCGCGTATTTTACAACTAAATTATAATATATCACAGTGCATGGATCGAAGTAGGCAATAATAAATTTTAGAAAATGTTACTAATGATTTCACATGGTGATTCATAACATTTTATGTGTTTGACGTTTGTGCAAATCTCAACATATCATAAAGATATTAGTGGTACGTTAATAGAACAAGTAAATGTATACTTTAAAAAGAAATAGTAAACAATATTTTCATGTCATCACTAAGTAAATGACATAATGTGATAGCAATAATTTATCATAGGGTACCTTGTGTAATTAATGTTGAAAGTTTTTGCATTTTAAAACAAAACAAAACATGGTTAATCATTCCAAAAGAAGTAGAGGAGTTTATCATTATTGATCAAATAATGCAAAGCTCAATAGTGAGGAAGAAGAAAAGAAACAAAATGACATAGGTGCATTAAATTCGGTAGGTAGCCATCATGTCCTTGTACCAATGTATGTGAATATGTGTGTGTGTGTACGTAAGATGCAAAATAAGTGCAACAAGAGAGGGAATACAAAGAAGAAAAATAAGAGTTTGTGTTGTGTGTTTTCCTATTTGAGAGAATAAACAATAGCCAAAAGTATAAGGCATTGACCTGTATGTGCATATTTCTAAATTGAGTGATCAAATATTTGTTGTGTTAATCCTAAAATTTCACTACAAATCCAGTAGTGCCCAACAAATTTCGTATCAGAGCTTTCTATTCTTCTATCCTCTCACAATCTCCATTTTATATTGCCTAAAAAAGTATTCTCGAAAAGTCAAGGCAACAATTTCTGTAAACACTATGTTTGCCAACTCTTCAAATCAAATTCTCATTTTGATGGAGATTTATACGAGTACTGGAGTGCCCAAATGGAGACAATCTTCATTGCTCAAGATTTGTGGGGTCTCATCCAAGAAGGCTATGATGATCCACAAGACGATGAAGGCTCCAAGTTACGAGCAGAGAAGCTACAAAGGAGTACAAGGAGAATGTCAAGCGAAATGCCAGTGCTTTAAGAATAATTCAGCAAGCAGTTAGCAAAATAATTTTCCCTAGAATCTTTGGAATTAAAAAGGCCAAAGATGCTTGGGAAGTTCAAGGTTCTGAAAAGGCAATCTCCATCAGACTGTTAAAAATTATGGCGTCAGTTTGACAACTTGACGATGAAAGAAACTGAAAGCATTATATTCAAGACTTTCATTCACGCGTGGCATAAATCGTGGAGAGAATTCTTCATAGCCTATCGTCTAAGTTTGAACTTGTTGCAGCTATCATAGAAGAAACTAAAGATTTGGCAAAGCTGTCAATGAGCGCTTTGATGGGCTCACTTTCAGCTTATGAGCACGGAATGGGCTGTTACACCAAACAATCGCTAGAACAAGCTTTCCAGTACGTCAAAAGTCAACATGATGGAAAGCAAAACATTCAAATCAGAGCAAGGTCATAGAGGCAACAACTTTCAAGGGAGAGGAAGAGGAAAATATAATTCCATAGGAAACAATCAACGATATCAACAACAAATTCCACAATGACAAAGAACGAGTAACACCATCTCGAGTTGCATTATTTGTGAAAAGGTGGGGTATGCAACAAAAGACTGTAGTTTCAAATGCACGAAGTGCAGAATTCAAAACCATTCCCAGAGAGACTGTTGGTTCCAGAACAAACATGAAGAAGGTGAATCAAGTAACACAAAAAATGAAGAAAGCAATATGGTGGCATTTATGCTTGAACGGATTAAAAAATGTACAACTTCCCTGGATGGTGGACAGTGGTTGTAGTAACCACATGACTGGATATTTGGAGTCCTTCACTGAAATAGATGACAATTACCACTCTCTAAGTGAAACTGGGAGATGGAAAGAAGCTAGAAGTGGAAGGAAAAGGCAAGGTTGTCGTGCGCACAGAAGAAGGTAACACAACGCTAATACAAGAAGTTTTGTATGTTCCAGAGTTAACACAAAATCAACTTAGCGTTGGACAACATATGCTGAAGAATTACAAGTTATTGTTGATAACGGACAATGTGAGATTATCAACAAGTCTGATAATTTCGCAGTTGCAAAAGTCCCTAGTCACTAGGCGTCAGCAAACATAGTCACTAGACAAGGCTGGAGTCACTGGAGATGTGTGCGGAAGATTTGTGCTGACAATGATGGCGGTGGCGATACTGCCGGCGGCTGCAACGGTACAGCCAGCGGTGCAGTGGTGGTGATACTTCTGGCAGTGATGGTTGTGGTGGTGGCTCAGAATAATTAAACGATTCTTAATTATAATAAATATAATACAAAAATAATAATAAATTTAATAATCCGTATTTAATAAGGGACAAGAAAAGTATATTCAGTCATATTTTTGGAAAACTGAAAACATAGTCATATATTTGTCTTTCTTGTTTAATTTAGTAATATTTGTAAAAGAGGCCTTTTAAATATATAGTAAGTTACAAAATTTAAAGATCGTGAAATTATGCGATCTATGTGAACTTTATTTGTCTCTCTGACATGCAAGGACTTATGAAATTAATTCAAAGGATAGGTGGACAAATTATGATAAATATCACACACCAAAGAATTAATCTAAATGGGCAAGTGAATAGATAATATTTAAAACTCGTACGCGGATAGTTTGGATTATTCAAAAATGGGCCGATCAAGATACTTCTTTTGTTAAGTTTAAAAAATGCCATGGCCCATTTGTTTTTTATGACAATAGAATTTGGTCAATATGTTTTATTTTCCCCATGTTGTACATGACTATCGTTCCTTGTCAACGTGATTCTTCCAGTTAAATTTGTTATACTTGCGAACGTCTTAGATATGATGGAAATTTGGTCGATAGGACTATATATAGATGTGGGGCAGGGAAAAATATCCATTCTTGTACTATATGGGGAAAAGTTAAAGACAATGATATAATGCGAGATTTATATAATACTCAAAATTGGAATTTCTTCTCATACATCATAACTATTTAACTTCCACCTCTTTGTAACACCTCACTCCGTAGGGCACGAGGTAGTTACTCCTAAATCTCATACATATCTCTAGTACTGTCCTCACAAACCTTCACAATGCTTTAACGTGCTCTTTGTCCTCACTCGTGCGCCCTAAGAAACTTCTCAGGGGGTCACCCATCCCAATACTACTCTCGTGCAAGCACACTTAAATTGGAGTTCTTAGGAGATGAGATCCCTTAAAAGGAGATGCACCTTGTTGATACAAGTAGTATTATTAATCCTTTTAAATTAATTTCAAGTGTTACACTCTTGCTCTCATCTATATGCGGAGATCAACACAGGCGTTATAATACAAAAATTGAGTGCACAAATAGAATTGTGTGTATCGATAAAACTAGTTACGTTTTCCTCGTGAATAAAGGTGAGAAAGACCGGTTAAATTAGAAATAAGGACTTGCTTTTTGTCCCATTTTTTACTTCTAACTCACTTGTACTTTCAATTTACTTTTTTGTACTGGCCACTCATCCCCCACCCTCATAATCGCCCTCTTCTTTTTCAGTACACTTTCACAATCATGAGTGCAAAATCACTCCCATTATGTCTTTTGAACTCTTTCACACTCACATCTAGCCAAATCTCTCTCCTCTCCTCTTAAAACGTAACCGCTCTCATCACTTCTTCGTCTGCGCTAAATATTGACTCCAATGGAAATGAAGGAGACACCAATGGGTGCAACACACAACATGAAATTGTACCTCGGGGCTTACGACGATCATGATATTGTATTTAAATCCCGGAATAGCTAGATCTACAATTATAGAGGTTAGATCTTTGATCCATTTTCTATTTCAATTCCCATGGATTTTAGAGTATTAGAATTTTAATTTTCCCATTTTTGTTTCATGTTTTTTCTTTGAATGTTTTTCTCTAATATGGAGGTTCCATTACATTTTCCCTTTATTGTGCAATTTTTCCACCATGTGTGAGTTTTCTCCCATACATAGAGTTGAGCATGAGAAGGTAGAGAATGTTATATGTATAACCTATCCCATCCTTAGAGATTTCTAATTTAACCCCATATTTCCTTTTTGGATTTGTTATTAGTCGTGTACCTTTAATTGGAGATAATATCCTCTAGGGATGTTTTCACTCTAACAAAACTTGTTTATCTTATCTGGTATGAACCTATATGGTCTCATTTGATCTTGTCTGATTTGGTTTTGTAACTTCTATAAGTCGGATTTGTTTAGGTGTGATAAATTTTGATCTAGTCTGCTTATATATGATTTGATTTAGTAGTATTTGTGACTAAAATCAGTCTATATGAAAATATCTAATAAGTATGTTTTTGTTAAAAACTTTTTCACCAGATCGATGAGTCACCACTGACATGAATTCTTCCAACGGAAATAATACATTTTGGTGGAAGTGTTCTTAATGTGGTCAAGTTTTTCAAAAAAGTATTTTGTACACACTTTTACTAGCTATTTACACACTTTTAAGCACTATTTGTGAAAGCATTTTTTTTATTGTCATGATAATTATACGGAGTAATTATTTCATCTTGCTCCATATATGTGTATATGTGTATTATACTACCTCCAACCTATTAAATTCTTCCCATTATATCATTTTGAGATATCCCAAAACAATCTTCTCATTTCCCTTTTAGAATATATTGTGCGACTGACATTCATTTACATTTTTCTTATTCAAGCACAATCATACATTTCCATTTTATTCTCACCTTTTTAAACAACGATCCAAGTCAAATCGGAATTTTTTTAGGAGGCGGAGGGAGTATAAGAGCAGTAGTTCTTTTTAGTGGTTCAAGACCGTTCTATTGGGTATGGTTCTCACTAATGAACGTGTACCATACAATTTTGCAAAAATATCATCAGGGAATTAATGCCAAGTATGGTGTAAAAATAACAGTTATCCAAAGTAGGAATAAAAATAATGTAAACTTCAATGATAGGAGTAGCATGTTTTTTCTTAAATATGACTAGTAATTATGGCCATGATGCTAATGATGAGAGTTTTCTATCAATTATGACATTGACGATGTCATTTTATTGTCCGATCATGTCAAAGTAAGTCACTGTGATTTAAAGATTCACTAATTTGTTAGGAGAATTGAAGTGTAATACTCTTGTTTTCAAATTTTGGATTATTTTTGTTATGATTCAAGAATTTTATATTATATTCTAATTTGAATTTTGTGACCTTATATCACTTTCAATATAGTTTTTGAATTTATATTTTTATTATTATAATTGAAATTTAAGCCAACATTAATCTTCAATCTCACAAAATTGCAATTTAATTTGGACCGAGAAAGTTTCATATACAACGAGTACTTCAATTTGACGAATAATAAATGGTATTTAACAACTTTTAAACCCTTTATTTACCAGCAAAAATCCAGGGCATGGCAATAAAAACATGTACTCTCAAGAGTCCAGATTTGTTTGTTTGGTTCATTGAACCACAGGTCTCATCAAAGTTATTTGCAAGAATGATTACCAAATGTGAATTTTTTCATGCACTTGATTGTATTATCATATATATAAATATGATTAGCAATACTTTTCTGAAACCTTACAGAGGATGGTTTTAATCACTTCATATCAATTTTCTAATTATAAGTACATATACATAGTACATGCAAGTATTCCACAATTCAATTGCTAGATCGCCGATTTTAGCTACAAATTAAGGTATTTTGGTATGCATCCAACTAATTCTAGTGTTAGCAAATGACTTTAAAATCACGATTCTGGTATCTTTTACGTAATTGAGTACTAGTTTTATCTCTTTAATTACGACTTAGTTGATATAGTTATCATCAAAAAGTACTCTCGACTTCTCATCAGATTTACTCTCTATTTGGATATGATAATGTAGAACAATTTCGCACATGATCCAAGAGCGTAGAAATATTTTGACTTAAAGTTGAGATCATTGAGTGTGTGTAATGGGCAAAAAATTAAATCACTTTGATTTGAAGGATGACTATTGATGAAAATTCAATCTAATAAAAACTATTAAAGTTCTTCATCTTTTCTCAAAATGAAATCCCCTTCAAAAATTAAATCCACCAAACATAAATGTCTCATGCATACCTGTTGACGGGATTCTCGGATGCTTGTAGTGGAAATCCCACGCTTATTTTCACTCTTGGTGGGATCTTCTTCGTTTATTCTTACACCGTTCATCTGAAGACAGTCAAAGTATTCTAGCTAAGTAAGAACATAGTACGTGAGTGTGAAATGAGACAGCTAATTGCTATTTTACTTATAAAGTAAAATAACTAGCAAAGATCTAATAAATTTACTCGGTAAATAGAAAATAAATAAACCACACAGTTTAGTAATCGAACGTTTAAGGGTGAAAAAAAAAATTAGGTCAAATGACAATTAATAAATTGACAATATCTGGGCAACCACATTAATTGCGTTATTTGGCAAAGTAGATGGATTTATCCTCATTTGGGAGCCTAATATAAAAATATTTCTATTTCTGGCGTTGCTCATAACGTGATATACTTTTAGAGAGAAACGTGTTTTTCACCTTTTGTTTGTCCCGGGACTCGGAAACCGTTTCATTCAAATATCATTAGTTAGAATAATGTATGAGCTTAATATCTCAAGCTTTCAAAATTGTGCTAGATTAATACTCTAGTGTTTATTTAGGACCATATATGTATCATGAGCTTTCGTTGTTAAATAGTCCCTCCGTCCCGAAAAAGTTCGTCAAATTGATTTTTCTTGATCAAATACAATCAACTTTGACTAATGATTCACTAGTAGAAAAAGGGCCTATAGTGACACTAATTTAGTGTCACGTAAACTTTCTACGACACTAAAAAAGTGTCAGGAAAAGTGTCGGCTAGTGATACTAAATAAAGTATCACTGATGCGGGGACGGTTTTGTGTCCGCAAATTATGAGACTAATGTATCGTCTAAAATAGCGACATTTATGCATCAAGAAAACAGTGTGACGTTAATACATCACAAAATTTAATGACACTTCACATCATAGATTTTTATGACACATCAACATCATAGATTTTTATGACACCTCATCATCATTATACAATAGTATTTGAGGTAATCCAAGAAATTCTCCAGACTTGCTTTCATTATAGTAGATTGTTTGACACTATAGTACTATTATATGACACCTCAGCATCATAGTACAATATATGATCCATTGAGAATTTGAGATATAAATAGAAAACTCTGATATTATGGTTATTTATTATATTATATTATATTATATTATATTATATTATATTATATTATATTATATTATATTATATTATATTATATTATATTATATTATATTATATTATATTATATTATATTATATTATATTATATTATATTATATTATATTATATTATATTATATTATATTATATTATATTATATTATATTATATTATATTATATTATATTAATCCAAGAAATTCTCCAGACTTGCTTTGTTAGAGAGGAATGGCTCTCTAAGGCAGAATAAATACTCCCAAGCTAATTTTTCAACCTGAAAATGGGAAAACCAAATATTATTCATGATGATGATTACTTTGACATCATTAGTAAAAATCAAATATTCCGTTTTATGCATAAGTCCAGCTACTTTGTAATCTCACAATAGATCACTTGGCTTACTGATATAATCTTCTTGAGCACGTAAATCACGGTGAAGAATGCTCTTGTCATGGCTTTCAGAAGACAAAACAGACGAGCTCCAAGCTAGAGCACCAACTTGTAACCGATGTCCTTCTAGGGTTCTTATTCTCTTACACCATGTGTCCCTTATCTTGCTACTATAGGCGTTCCATAAATATACTTAGTTCCCCAATCCAACAGCTAAAACATTATTGAAAGACTAATAAATAGATAAACGAATAAATATACCCTTTGTAGGCAAGGAAGTAAAGAAGAAACATACCTGAGTTAATGTCAACTTTCCTTGCCTGAATGATTTACTTAAAAGTTTACTGTGTTTCTACATTTATGAGAAACAGTGTGTCTGTCCTCAGAAAAGATTTCATCACGGAACAGTTTTGAGACCAGTGTAGCATCCGTAATTTGTGGATCAGAAAAAGTCTCAACATTTCCAGTTTGGGCCAGGCATTCATAGGTAACCACAAGATAAGCACCTCCCTCGGTTACCGCCTTGTTACAGGTGGCCACCGGGGGCATCTTGTTCGTAGGTATCTGACCATAGTGTAGCTTTAGGATGGATATTAGAAGCAGTTGGGGCGCAGGTGCTTTTGCAACCATATGACGTAATCAGTTGGGTATCATGTACACCATCAGAAGGTCCTTCCTTGTGGACTGAAGTAATGGTCTGTGAGGCATCAGAAGGGATAGAAACCCGGACTTCACAAGCATGAGAGGCATCAATGTAACACCCTGACCCCGTAGGCCACGAGGTAGTTACTTCTAAACTCTAGTACTGTCCTCACAAACCGCCACTAGCCTTTTCCGCGCACTTTGTCCTCACTCATGTGCGCCCTGAGAAACTTCCCAGGGGGTCACCCATCCCAAGACTCCTCTTGTGCAATCACGCTTAACTTTGGAGTTCTTGGCTAATGAACTCCCTTAAAAGGAGATGCACCTTGTTGGTATGAGTAGTACTATTAATCCTTTTAAATTAAATCTCAAGTATTACAATCACCCCCACTTAGGAACGCAACATCCTCGTTGCGCCCATAAACCAATCTCAATAATATCCCAGAATCTTTTCCCCTGTTAAGTGCCCGCCCGATATCCAACGGATCAGCACACTGTCACAGGGTTGCTCTGATACCATTTGTAACACCCCGGCCCCGTAGGCTCCGATGTACTTACTTCTGACCTCTAGTACTGTCCTCACAAACCGCCACTAGCCTTTTCCACGCACTTTGTCCTCACTCGTGCGCGCCGTGAGAAACTTCCCAGGGGGTCACCCATCCCAAGACTACTCCCGGTAAGCACGCTTAACTTTGGAGTTCTTGGCTAATGAGCTCCCTTAAAAGGAGATGCACCTTGTTGGTATGAGTAGTACTATTAATCCTTTTAAATTAAATCTCAAGTATTACAATCAACAGGGAAAGAATATCGGTATGCAGCAGCAGTGTTAAATTTCTCAGTGATAAAATACTCTATTTGCCCAGGCTCAATGTGGTCTTTAAAAGGGGCATCAGGAGCAACCGGGGCATCCAACATAGTTGGAACATCTGTAGTTATAGCTTTTAAAATAGGCAAATCAGAAACTTGTGCATTACAAGAAGTAGTACAATCATTTGGAGCATTGTAACAATAACAAGTGAATTAAACTGGGCAGCAATATCATCAAAAACAGAATGGGCATTACTGTGGTCATCAAAAGGGCCTTCAGGGGCAATCAGGCCATCCAACAAAGATACAACATCTTTAGTTATAGGTTTAAGAATACCAAATTCAGAAAAATGTGCTTTAAAAGTTGGGGCAGAAACTGTAAGAGGGTCTGAAACATGAACATGGGCTACGTGGGTGACATTGGCAGAAACAATTTGCCTATTTTCAACAACCTTAGCCAACTGCATCATTGGCTTTGAAACCTAGGAACAATTTCTGCTAGTATGCCCAAAATGAGAGACCCTTGAAGAAAGTACCCTTGAAGAAGACCCACGAAGGTCCCAACTAGGGCAAATCGGAAATTAGAAGAAAGTACCTGAATATCATTTCCCGTGAAGGAGATGGACGGAAAATCCTTGAATCTGCCGATTTGACTGTGAGACCCTTGAAGTCAACGTCAGAGAAGAGTTGAGGTTGCGAGTGTAGTTGGTGGCCGGGGACAACATCCCTTACCGCCGCTGCGTAAGATGGGGCCCTTTGCGTAGTCACTAAATCGACTCCCTCTGCCGGCGGCATGTCCGCCGCACAGGCTTCAGGTGAAAGACACTGCATTTTAGTGAGCGGACAGAGCTTCTCGCTCTAGACCAACTATGTAGGTATGACTACGGTTAGGTTCAATGGGCTAGAATCACTCAATTGGATGAATAAGAAGGGCTAGGTGGAGACGGTGTCACGCGGCCGGAGATCTGCAAAACACTTCGACCACTCAATTGTAAATTCAAATATATGTAAACTTTAAATGTAATATATTCCCGAAAAGTCTTGAAATCGTGAATCTTTAACGCCTTTTGGAACTTTACTTAAACTTATCCAAGGGCCTCCAAATGAACCTTGAACAATGTCTTCAATCAAATCAAGTTTGTCTCGCCTACACACATTTATCTCTCTCTCTCTCTCTCACACACACACACACACATATATATATATATATATATATATAAATATATATATATATATATATATATATATATATATATTATACTAACATTTATGATTTTATTGATCCTATTCAAACATTCACGTATTCCTTTCATTCGTAAACAATAAGGCATAAGTAAAAAATTATCAATTAAGCCTTTTAATTTATTGTAAGGTTATGTCAACTTCACGATTTCTTTATTTAAACATATTTTTTTTCTAATAAAAATTAAGAGAGTCTTACATTTTTTAATTCGGTCATCAGTTAAATTGTTTAACGAAATGTACCTCACTGTCACTAATCTATCATTTCAATTTTACAACTAGTATCCAACTCTAAACAATAATTTCAAAGACACAATTAATGTTAACTTGATTTTACATAGTGAAATCATGTTTGTACACGTTTTTTTGTACAAACTCAATTCAAGAACATATGTCATGATGCATGATGTTTGCCGAAGATATTGTATTGATTGATGAGACACAATCGGGGGCTAAAGCAAAATTGGAAGTATGACGACAAACTTTAGAGAGACTGGTGTGTGATATGTTCCGTTATTTGAGCTCTATAATTGAGAAGAATGGTGAATTAGATGGAGATGTATCCTACAGAATTAGAGCAGGGTGGATGAAGTGAAAAGAGTGCATCGAGATTTCTATGTGATCAAGGTATGCCGACTAGGCTGAAGCACAATTTTTTTCCGGACAACAATTAGGTCTGCACTAATGTATGGCGTAGAGTGTTGCGCGGTAAAGTGATGTCACATTCAAAATATGAGTGTGGCAGAGTTGTGTATGTTGTGATGGATGTGTGGACATACTAGAAAAGATCACTACATGAATGAGATAATCACACAAAACTTGGGGGTAGCACTTATAGAAGATAAAATGCAAAAGTCTCCATTGCGATGGTTTAGTCATGTGTGTGAAGACCGTGTGATGAACCT